GCCCCCACAGGACTCAGGTACAGGCTCAGACGTGACTGGGAGGCTGGCCTCTCCCTCCAGCCCAGCGACCTGCGTTCCTTTTTTGATGGGTCCGAAGGGGAGCATAACGTGGTGAACGGTGGGCCTATGGGAGACAGACCCTCAGGGATGGGTGGGGCACCCAATTCGAGGGAGTTACAGGCCTGGCCTGGCCAGAGGGTGCAGGTCCCCATAGGGCTTTGGGCCCTCAAGATGCAGAGGCGGGTGGTTTGGCCAGCAGGGGGCGCTGTGTTCCTTGATGTGTGAACTTGGAGGCGGCTCGGGTCCGCAGCCCACAGAGGCCTGCGCACACATGAACACGCACACAGTAGCCCTGCACATCTACACTGACCTTCAGTTGTACTCAAGGGGCTGTGTCTGCTGGGCATAAGCTGCTCACCCCGTGTGTGTGTGAGGAGCCACATCAACCCTCCCCCATTCTCTCACAGGGCTGCTGGGGACCAGACCTGGAAACCTGGCTCCGTGTGTCACACCCAAGTACACACGTGCTCAGTCACCCCCTGAGCCTCTGCTCCACCTGGAAATGGAAGCCGGGAAAAGCCTTGATTCTCCTATGGGAGGTTTCCTACTCCTCCCCTCCCCCTCTGCCCAGGGCCTGCTGGTTTTCACCTGGTAGGAAGGTGGACATGGGGACACGATGGGGAGATGGAGGAGGGCTGGGGGTAAAGGTAGAAATCGGCGGCAGGTGTCTAGGGGGATGGGAGGAGGGCTTGAGGGGTGGGTGAGCTCTCGAAGCCCCTCCGGAGCCTCAGCTTCCTCTGTCATGTGTGGACGAGGCTTCCACAGTTCCGGAGGATTGGTGAGATGATGCGAGGGAAGCCACCTTGAATCCTTCCCTTTCTGCCGGGCTTTCTCCCTCCTCCGCTCTCCCAGTACCTCCCTCCTTCCACTCCCTTTTGCTCCCCCTCTGATCCCCGAGCTGAGAGGACCTCAGTCAGAGCCCCTATTGCCCCTTGTGCGCACACCTACACACCCCACTCCCCGAGGAGATAGCCGCCACCGCAGCTGGACCGGCCTCTAGGGGGTTAAAAGCCCACGGCCACCGACAGGCAGCTGTAGGCAGCCGGGCATGGGACCTTGGCAAAGGGCCTCTGAGCATGAGGGACCTGAGAGCTTCGCAGTAGAGCCCAGGACTGGCAGGGTCCGGGGAGCTGCTGGCTGGAGCTGGAGCAAAGCCCTGGCCCGTGCCCACCTGGCCTCAGGGGCTGACCGACCTTGTGCCTGGCCAGACGGGGCCCCAGGAGGCGCTGCTCTAGACCAGCTGGACATGAGGGCTCCGGCTGCCCTTGATTCTCTCAGCCTCCAGGGCCCAGAGCAGGGGCCCTAGGAGCTGCTTGTCTGGGAGCTGCCATGGCAACCAGGACCCTTCCCACCCCACCCCAGTCCTCACACCTGTCTCCCCGGAGGGGTGAGGGAGGGCGATCCGAACAACCAAAATTTTCCTGGCTCAGAGACCCTCTCCTAGGTATCAGCACATTTACCCCGAAAGACACATGGGGCAACGAGGATTATCTCCATTTATAAGTGGGGAAACTGAGCTCACAGAAGTTACCCACTGGTCAGGGGTGCAGTATACATGGGGATGTGTGAACGCTTTCGCCTGTACGGCCTTATCAAAGGCCTAGCCCTCACAGCTAGGCATTAGTGGGGCTGGGTGCTTGGCGTACAGGTGCACCTCACCGAGGCTAGGTAGGGTGTAGGGAAGCCCTCTGCGGCCCTGTCTGCAGGAAGGGAAGGAGAGAGATGCCCTGAGGTTCCCTGGGACAGCCCACTGTGCCAGGGAGGAGGGTCACCCACACTGGCCCCGTGGCCACATTCCTTCATTCCTCGAGCATTTATTGAAAGCCTCTTTGAGACCAGGCAAGCATGGGTTTCCACCGGAACAGGGGAGGCCCTGAGGAGGTCAAAGCCAGAAGTAGCCACTGACTGGAGAGGAGAATCAGGGCAGCCTTCACAGAGGAACTGGACCTGAGCAAAGTCTTGAAAGAGAGACAAAGAGGAAAGGCTTCCTCAAACCTGTAGTCTCTCCACTACTCTGGGATTACCCAGGCCCCATTATCAAGTCTTGGCCTTGAGAGGGAGAAGTGAAAAACCCCAGATGAGACTGGGACCAGCCCAGAGAGGATCCCAGTCACTCAAAGGGAGCCAGGAGCACAAGGAGGGGCCCCTGACTGGACAGGAGAAGGGCTGCCTCTTCTTCAGGGCCAGAGGGAAGCTGGTGAGGGCATGGAGCAGCAGCAGGTGAGTTTGTGGCTGGGGAAGAAGGATGGGAAGAAGTCTTACCTGCTAGTTTCTCTTTCTAGGTAGGACAGGGGGCAAGCTGAGCTGCTGGAAGAAAGCTGGAGTAGGGCACTTGGAGAGCGTGGACAAGGTTGGAAGTCGGCCTTAGAAGAATGGGGAGAGAGAGAGCTGACTGAGGACGGTGTAAGGATTGCTGAGCAGAGCTGTGACCCCTGCTGAAGCCAGAGACCATGGACTCTTCGTGGCAGAAGCCTGCAGGCTGGGCGAGTTGTTCCAGCGGCGCTCAGCGGCGCAGATCCGGATGGGGCCAGAGGGCGGTGGAGGAGAAAGGAACGGAGAGATGCAGGGGCTGGGGTGGAGAAAAGGGGTGGGTGTGCAGGACAGTGGAGGCACTGATGCCAGGGGATCTGGCTGGGGAGGGGAGGGTGAGGCCAGGAAAGGGAATGGAAGAGGGTGCATGGACAGAGCCTGTAACCGGAGCTGGGCTATTCCACTTGAAGATTTCAGAGAGCTCAGACCTAGGTGGGATGGGTATAAGGCTGGCTGGAATGAAGTAGATATGAAAGTCACCTGCCTCCAGGAGGTCAAGAAGCTTTTATTCATTCATTCTTTCATCAGTAAATATTTATTGAGCACGGGGCACCCGGGTGGCTCAGTAGGTTAAGCGTCTGCCTTTGGCTCAGGTTATGATCCCAGGATCCTGGGATTGAGCCCCATATAGGCTTCTTGCTCAGCAGGGAGCCTGCTTCTCCCTCTCCCTCCGCCTGCCGCTCCCCCTGCGTGTGCGCTGTCTCTGTCAAATAAATAAAATCTTTAAAAAATATATTTATCAAGCACCAGCTATGGCCAATCCCTGTGCAAGACACTAGATGTAGGGATGAGCAAAATTTGGTTCCGGCCCCCCGAGGGGCTCACCGCCTCATTAAGGAGACACATTATCACCATGACAGCCCTCTGTGGTGACTGAAGTGTCCAGAAGTGCCCAGATGGGGTGGGAGCACACGTAGGGGTCATCACCCAGCGAAGGAGGAGATGACACTGAAGCTGAGCCTTAGGGATGAGTTAGGAGTTACCCAAGAAAAAGACGTGGGAAAGGCTATCCAAGGAGAGGACAGAGCGTTCTCCAAGGAGTGACCAGCATAACGTGTTGCAGAACCACTGGTCATTTGGTGAGGCCACAGGACAAAGCAAGGAGTGGGGAGAGGTGAGGTAGGAGGAGCAGGATCCTCGAGGACCTTGTAGGCCTGGCAGGAGGACACTTTGAAGGGATTTTAGCAAAGGAGCAGCAGGATCAGATTTGCATTTTAGAAAGATCTCTCAGGCTGCAGTGTGGATAATTGATTGGAGCTGAGTGAGGAAGCAGACAGAGAGACTCATTCAAGGCCACAGGGCAGCAGGGTGGCAAGAAGAGGGCACAGTCAAGAAATATTTAGGATTCCAAATCAGCCAGACTTGATGCCTTTATTGGTTGGGGGCAGAAGGTTCAAGGATGCTTCCCAGGTGCTACCAACTGAGCTGGAGAAAACAGGAAGAGTGCATGGGGGGTGGGGGTGGGGGGGCACAGAGAGAGATGAGGATCTCATTTTGAGACAGGTTGCATTTGAGGAACCTGAAGACAACCAGGGCATACCCACTGAGCAGGAAGTTATGGCCAGGGGTGAGGTCAGGGCCCCCCCGATGTGGTGAAGAGTGAAGACTTACTTCAACAGCTCCACAGATTCTTCTTAGGGAGGAAATCCCTTTGTTTGGGAAAATATCTCGATATGCTGCTGGGGTTAAAAGGGCAGAGCCTAGGACCTGGGTGACCTCAGGGCCGGCATTGTCACAAAAATGGCTCAGCTGCCCTGTGTGAGACTTGAGAGGAATTGTTCCAGCCCCTGAGAAGGAGGAGAGCAGGGTGTGGAGGGGAGAGGGTTGTGAGGGAGGGGGCAGGCAGGGGAGACAGGACGGGGCAAGGACAAGCCAGTGGAAATTCCCAGCTCACAGGGGAAATTCTCCACTGCCGTGTGTGTCATCTGATCAGCTGTGGAATAAGCCCCTCCTCCCTCTGTCCCCCCTGCACCCACACAGACCCAGGTCCTTAGAAAATTTGACTCTGTTCACATCTGCTTTCTGTGAATAGGGATTTAGGTGGGAATGGAGGAAAGAGCTTCATTTCACATCTGGGTTTATGGGGCATCGAATAGTGTGAGCCCATTTGGAGGCAGAGCCTGCAGGCAGAGGGGGCCAGGGGAACAGGAGCCTCTGGGAATGCATGGGACCCTCGGAAGCAGGCCTTGGACTTGGGGATCTGAGGAGCTCACTGCATCTAAGCTGGAAGCCCATACCCACCACTACGCCTGCACCTGCTACGCTCAGGCTGGGCCTCTGCCCGCAGCAACGTTAGGGCTGTGTGGGGCTTGGGAACCAGCTTGGGTTCCAGCTCAGCGCCCAGGGGCTGCCCCCTGTCCCAGCTGTGCTCCGGGCGGAGCGAGCAGGGGAGCACCAGCCCTCATACAGACCTCACGCCTCCCACCCCCCCAAGACGCACACAAGCCTGTCAGCCTGCTCCTGCCAGTCTGACCAGAGGGCCCCTGGGTCAGCAGCGAAAGAGAGGAGCAAGCCAGAGACAAGAGATCCCCTGAGACAGCCGAGATCAGAGGTCCCAGGAGAAGTAGAGGCAGCCACCAAGGCAGCCAGGCCCAGACCCAGGGCAGCCTGGCGGGTGACGCTGGGCCAGGATGCTGTGGAGAGCTGCCAGCAGGGCGCTGTTTGCCCGAGTTCCTGGCCACAGGGCTGTACGTGTTCTTCGGCGTGGGCTCAGCCCTGCCCTGGCCCTCGGCGCTTCCCACCGTGCTGCCGATCGCCATCACCTTCAACCTGGCCACGGCGGTGGCTGTGCAGATCACCTGGAAGACCAGCAGGGGCCACATCAACGCCGCCGTGACTCTGGCCTTCCTCGTGGGCTCCCAAATCTCCCTGCCCCGTGCTGTGGCCTATGTGGCTGCCCAGCTGGCCAGGGCCACTGTGGCGGCTGCTCTGCTTTATGGGGTCATCCCAGCAGACATCCGAGAGACCCTCGGGGTTAACATGGTAGGTGCAGGGAGGGGCACCTGGCAGGGCCAGGAAAGGGATGTCCACCCGGGTGGTAAGGGTGGACGGCCAGGCCTGAGGAGAGGCGACAGGGAGGAAATAACTCAGCCCCGTGCTCCTTGCCTGCTCTGGGCTGCGCCCTGGGACCCAGGGGAACCAGACCGTGGCCTTAGCGCAGGCAGAGCGGGAATGGGGTTATGGTACAAGGTGGCACAAGGGCAGGAGTCAGGAAAGGACCGGGCATTGAAGGGTCAGGGTAGCCAGGGACGCCTGGGGCTGCGGGTAGTGGCAGGGGACCCAGCATGCCCTTCTTCTCTTCCGGTCCACCCCGTGTGCCCTGCTCCTCTGCGTCCCCATGTTCCTCCTTCCCCAGCACCCTGAGGCCTGTCTCACTCCCCCCGATTCCCCTAATCATCTATCCTTCCACCTACTTCCCCCCCAACCCCGTCTCCTCCTACCCCTCCTACCCACGGTCTCCTCCCAGTCTGCCCCAAAACCTGCATCCCCCTGCTCCGAGCCTTCCCTTCCCCAACAGAACTGAGCCCTTCGCCAACTACTGGCTGCAGCCCCCCAGGGGGCTAGGAGGGCGGCCACTCCCTTCCGCAGGGAGCGGGTGTCCAGGGCTGACCCAAACTGCACTGCACAGCTCTCCCTGCTCCATCTCCCCAGGGCCTGGAACCGGGGTGGTGAGGCATCACCTCCTTACGGTGAGGAAATGAGGTCTGAGCGGGTCACCACCCGATGGCAGAGCCACGTCACCTCCAGCATAGCCTCCGCACCCAGGTCCGGAGCAGCGTCTCGACGGGCCAGGCTGTGGCAGTGGAGTTGGTTCTGACCCTGCGGCTGGTACTCTGTGTTTTCGTTTCCATCGACAGCCGCCAGGCATCGGTCTCCCCAGCCACCATGATGGGGATCTCTCTGGCACTGGGCCACCTCACTGGGGTAAGAGGCCAAGGGGACACCGTGTACATGCACACACTGGTCCCTCCCTGAGGAGGCTGCAGGGACCCTGAAGGCTAGGAAGGGTCCCTCCCTGAGCCCCTCATGAATTGGGTGGAGGCTGTGTTCCCGCAGTCCAGGCCTGGGATACGGCGCCGCAGTGGCCAAGGCTGGGACCAAGGCTCTAAGCCAGGGCAGAGGGGGCTGTCCCCTCCCGGGCCTGCCCTAAGCCTCCTCACACCCTGAACCTGCACTATCCCCCGCCAGGTCTACTTCACCGGCTGCTCCATGAACCCGGCCCGCTCCTTCGGCCCCACCATCATCGTTGGGAAGTTCGAGGTCCACTGGGTGAGAGCCTCTGCTGGCCACCGTGGGGTGGGGAGGGGCTGGGCAGGGGCCCTTAGGGACAGTGGCTTTCACCAGCAGGGGGTCCACAGGGACGTGGGGAGACAGGTCCCCCTACCACGGACCATCTTGACCCCCAGGGGAGGTTTCCCTAAGCTCAGAAGATGAAGGCAAATATCCTGGCTTGTACTTCCTTTCTTTCCAGCTTCAATAGCCAAGGGGACCCAGTAGACTGTTGATAAATGGGCCAGAGCGGGAGATGCAGCCTCAGCCCAGGCCTCAAGTCCTGGCTGTTTCCTTATTCACTTCCTCCAGCTGGACCAGTTTCCAAACTTGGATAAAGAAAAAGACAAACAGAAATAGACACACACACACACACCAGCTGAAGCAGGAACAGCACTTAGCCAGGGCTCCTGGTTGGAACAGGGGAGGCGAGAGGAGGAAAACAGGAGGGGTGAGGAGACTAGGCCTGCCCCGTTCAAGGCAAGGTCACCTCACCTGCAGAGACTTGGCGGGCAGGATGCCCGCTTCTCCATTTTGTCGTCGTGTAGACAGATCAAGGGGTCCTGGGAGACCAAGTTAATCCTAAGGAACCAGGCGAGGGTCCCAAAGCTACCCTATGATCCTGATAACTCATGCCCACTTCTCTCTGACCCGCAGATCTTCTGGGTAGGACCCCTGACAGGAGCTGTCCTGGCTTCGCTCATCTACAACTTTATCCTGTTCCCTGACACCAAGACCATGGCTCAGCGACTGGCCATCCTCATGGGTACAGAAGAAATGGAGAAAGTGGCAGAAAAGGAGCCCAAGAAGAGAGAATCCCAGTCCAGTTCAGGGGATACTGAAATGGGGAACGTGTGTCAGATGGTATAGAACTTGGCCCTCACCTTTGGGCTTCGGAGAGGAGCCCTTTAGGTGGGTAGCTTGCCTTGTACAACGAGACTTCAGGTTTTCTAGGGGGTGGGGCCAGGGTGGGGGCATGAGGGCAGGAAGGATGGGGATGCTAGGCCTCTTGTCCTAACAGGGCGGATAGGGAATGCCAATCCCTGTCCCTGGTGTTATATTTCTAGACAGAAAGAATCTGGGGAGCAAATCTGTTCAGTTTCCTCCTCCTACATCTCTTAATGGGACAGAGCAGAAGGAGGCAGGGAAATTCATGATTGCCCTCCCCTTCTCTCATCCATCTGGATCCTAGTGGGCATCCTGAGCCTCCAGATCGCCTTGCCTTGGGTATTGGAGCCCAGACAGCCACTCAGCCCAGACACTAAGGGCTATAGAGACCTTAGGGAACCCCAATGTCTTACCCATCCTTGAGGGGAAAGCCAGACTTCCCAGAAGAATTGGATCCTGGGACATTCTCTGAGCTCCTCATAGGGATCTCTCTGCTCCTGGGTATGGTTTGGGGGCTAGAGACCAGTCCCCTCAGCGTGGGTGCTTCCTGAGGACAAAGACTGTCCTGATCGATCTTCATTCCTCACGCCTCTAAATGCTCAGGAGAGGACCCTGCCCTTGGGAAGAGCTGACCCAGAGAGGAGCCTTTTCTAGGGCTGGCAGAGGGGCAGGATAGAGGCAAGGGAGGTTTGGGCCAAACAGGCCTTTTCCAGGGCAGGCTCTCCCCAGATGTTTGCCCACTTTCCACCCCACAGCCCCATTCATGGGAACAATCCTGAGAGGGGGAAGTCCCTATCCCAGCCTCCTGCCCCTGACCTGGGCCACAAGCTGTCTCCAGCCTCATCCTCAATTCTGCCAGGATCCTCAAAAAAGCTACTGAATGAGTCCCAAGGATGGTAAGAACTCAGGAATGACCCAAGAAACCAAGATTTGCAGTTCAGTGCCTCTGAAGGACTACTAATCTGAGTTGGTTTGTTAATATTTACAAGCTGCTGTAAATATACTCTCCCCATGACTTGGGGCCCTATCTGGATCTCAGCTTCCCCAGCTATAAAATGGGCACAGTCCTCCCCCAGGGCCTGCTGTGAAAACAAACAAGAGACTGGAAAATGTTTTCGAAAGTTAAAATGCTAGAAAAACAAACCCAATAAATGATGATTATTGTCGCTGTTACTGTAATTATTGGGTTTGAATACAATTGCTGTTGGTAATGGGAGGGAGGAGGGAAGAAGGGAGAGGGGGATGATTGAGAGGGAGGGAAAAGAGAGTAGGCTTTTCTCCTTTCATCTGTTTCACTTACTTGCACTGCCTCCTCTCCTGGATCTACTGACCCGGGAGCTCTGTGTGTGTGGAGGGGGTTGAGGAGGGCCACTGGAACAAAGAGACAAGCCAATAAAAGTCAGTTCTTCTCATCTCTGTGGTGCTCATCACCATGGTACCCTGAGATACAGCGACCAAAACCATAGAAAAGATAGGTCCTTTTCCATGATGTCTCCAGTGGCACTGGGGATGGGAGGGGCTACCAAAGTCTTTCAAGGGCAGGGTGACAGTGCCCAGCCCATGACCAGAGTGAGAGCTGAGTCCCCAGGTGCTCGTGGCCACAGTGTCCATGTTCAGGATTCTGTGATATTGTCAGTGTGGAGTACTATTCACATCTCCCCAAGCCGGGCCCCACTCATCCATCTTCACAATCTCTCAGAGCCCAGGGCTTCTTGTGCCCTTTTATGAGTAGGGACAGCTGGGTGTGCATGGCGGTGGGGGGGAGGTGGGGAGAGATGTGATTGACTTGCTAAAGGTCACCCAGCTCAGTACCACAGCCCCCTAAGTTCTCCTCAGCTCCCAGCTTAGAATTTTCCAAAACAGAGCTCTAGGGGGCTTATACAAGTTAAATAGCCAGAGGGAGGGAGGGAGGGAGGGAGAGAGGGAGAGAAGGAGGGAGGGAGGGAGGAAGGAAGGGAAAGGAAAGGAAGGAAGAGAGGAAGGAAGGAAGGAGGAAGGAAGGAAGGAAGGAGGGAGTCCAGAACTAGAAGGTTGACAAGGGCAGGGGGGTGGAGCTCCTGCAGTAGGGCTCTGAAGTTCCTAGACAAATTATCTCTGCGTCCCCAAAGCTGAGCACACACTGGGTGCTCAATAAAAGTTTGATGAATGAATGACTGAGGCTGGGCGACTGGGGAGGGAGGGGAGGCAGGGATCCATCACGAGAATTCAGGAGTTACAACTTCAGATGTGCCAGGATGAGAGCAGCTGAGACACCTATGTTCACAGGGAGGAGTAGCTGGGACCAGGGTGCAGAGCACCCCGGAGCCCCCAGCCCCTACTCCGGAGCTGACTGCCAAACCCCTGCCTCCGGGCCCAAAGGGTGAGGGTGACTGCTCAGAGAGAGACTTGGGGGCTATTTTCATGAATAGTTCTTTAAAGCTGTACTCTGTCAGAATAGATTAGAGCAAGGAGGAGAAAAGCTTCATGAAAAGTGAGGAAATAGGTTAGAATCTGAAGAGCATCCAAAGTTAGACATAGGAATGAGTAACCAAAGGTTAGCTTCTCCTTCTCTGGAGCCCTTTAATAGGACAGCCAGCCATCTGTTTGGATGAGGGAAGGGCTGGCCCTTGGGGAGCCAAATTCACAGGTTCCAGCCTGCGAGAGCAGGGCTTCATAGCCCCAGCCCCTGGGCCTGGGTGGAGGGGGCCGTGGGAGAGTGGGGAGGATTGAGACCCAACCAGGCCGACCCTTGGTGTGCACTCCCTTCCTCCCGGTTGTCAGGGGAAGTTTTTAATTAATGGTGTGTAATCTGATCTGGCCCTTCTTCCCGCTGAGCACTGCCTTCAATCAGCAAAGCCATCTGCAATTGCAATTCATAATTCTCCCGAAAGGGAGTGGGGGGTGCCTTGGTGATTAATACAATTAGCCTTTTATGTTGATGATTGTCTTAGCAGGAGCAGATGATGTGAGCCCAGAGCCTAGGCTGCAGCATCCCCATTGGCTGGCAGGAAGCCCCTCTCCACTTCCCACCCCCACTGATACCTCTGGCTGGAAAGAGGACACACTGGGACCGCACTGTGCAGGGACGGGGGGGCGGGGGGCTGTTGCGGGGAGCCCACGAAGGGGCCAGGCTCTGGGACACATTTGGGCTGCTCAGACTGAGGGCAGAGGAGGAGAAGACGATGATCCAGAGACTTTCACTTTCTGAAGAAAATCACTTTGACTTAAAGGATTCTATACACCTTATAAAAAAAAAAAAAAGACTACATAAAGGTATAATAGGGGTTGAAAGGGTTGAAAAAGTTTAAATACAGGCTCAGGCAGTTATAACTGTGTGAACTTAAGCAAGTTACTTAAGAATCCTGAGCCTCACTTTCCTCATCTGGGAAATGGGGTCTATTCAATAAGGGGGCTGGAACCACACGGGACGGGATGTATGTGGTTAGCAAGGCACCTGACACAGATCTCAATCGGTACGGTTGTCACCATCATTGCGGTAGACGGTAGACTGCTGTTCCCTCTGCTGCTGGCTCAGCTGCTTCCGCACGGTTCCTAGCGCAGCCCAGCAGCCCAGGCGGCTATTACTAAAGAAGGGCCCACTCCCTCTCCAGTACCCAGCCTTAGTTAGCTTAAGCAGAGGAGAGTGTGTGTGAGTGTGTTGGGGGAGGAGGATCCCAGAGGAAAGAGGAGTCAAGAATCACACCGAAAGGGCATCTGGCTCGCTCAGTTGGAAGAGTATGTGACTCTTGATCTCGGCGTTGTGAGTTCGAGCCCCACATTGGCTGCAGAGATTACTAAAAGTAAATAAATTTTTAAAAAAAGAAAAAAGCGAATCAAACCCAAGAAAGAAAGAAAGGTCTCCCCAGAACAGAGAGGTGGAGCACTGGAGTGATTGGGGCAAGAGTTGGTTTGCGGGAAGATCCAGGGAATGAGAAGTAAGGAGGCCAGGTGGGTATAAAGGGATAAAAAGACGCAGGACCTTGAGCATCTGGAATTTCATATGAAAGCTAAGAAAACAAAAGGGGAGCAGCCATCAGAGCTGAGGGTTTAAGAGGTAACACAAATCAAAGTCTGGGATCTCTGATCTATAATAAGGTCAAATGATCCGAAACAAGCCAACTGGGGACTTGATGGGAGAGTACACTGGGTCAGGAGAGGATATTGCCTCAGCCCCTCCCAGCCCACAGCACTGCACTCCAGCACCTGGAGCAGCGCGGGAAGAGAGCTCCTTATCAGCAGGGACGCTGACCTAGTGCTAATGGCAGGGCCCGGCAATGTTAGGGGGGGAAGACAGGGAGCGAAGAAGGGAGGGGAGCAGTTAAGGGCTAATCAAGAAGCATCCATCCGGCTGAACAGTAGCCACTCGGGGCAGCTGGGGCAGGGTCTGCACCTCTTGGGGAGGGGCGGTGGCAGTCAGCCAAAGCTGGAGGGGAGGCGCGGTTAGGGAAGGGGGTTTAGGAGACTGTGGAGTCTGACAGCACTGATTAGTAGGCTGCAGTGAATGGGCAGAAAAGGGAGAAATGCAAACTGTTTCAGAGCTCTGATTAAGTCAGCGAAAGGGGCAGTTACTGCCAAAACTGGGGGTGGAGGATGCCACTGAGGGTGGCAGGGACCAAAAGCTACCTGCTCCCCCCAGCTCCGCAGAAGGATGGAACAAGGCCCAGCCAGGCCAGGGCCCAGCGTGAGATCAGAGGAGAGGCCGGGATGGTCATCGGTGTCCAGTTATGAGGCACTGGGCTGGAGGTGCCTCTCCATCCAGGGTATGCTTCCCAGGCCTCTCTAGCTGCCCTGTGCATCCTGAGATGCTGCCTAATGTCATCACGTCTGAGGCTGGTAAGCCTCCAGCCCCTCCCTCCTGAGCTCCCCCAGCGCTCTGCACACACCTCCATCCTGGCACCGAACACACTACTTCACAGTTATTTGAACACCTCTCTCTACCGCAACAGGAAGACGATTCTTAAACAAAATTAGATTTTTAGTCTACTTCTCATCTCAGGGCAACC